GGGCATAAAGATGGAAGATGAGGTGGTCGCTCTCCTCGTTCTGGCTTCCCTTCCAGAATCTTGGGAGACGCTAAAAATTTCACTTACCAACTCTGCAAAAGATGGAGTTATCAACATGGAGATCGTCAAAAGTGGGGTTCTAAATGAAGAGATGCGGAAAAGATCACAAGGTGCATCCTCAACATCTTCCCAGTCAGACCTTTTGGCGGTGGATTTCAGAAGCAGAGGAAGAAGTGAAGCGAGAGGCTCGAAGCAAAGAGGCAAGAGTCGAGGGAAGTCCAACAAGTTTGCCAATATCAATTGTCATCACTGCAAGGAAAATGGCCACATCAGAAGATTTTGCCCAAAGTTCAGAAACGAGAGAAGGAAGGGCAAACGAGATGAGAACAGTGATGATGATGGTGCAAACTCCGTTGATGAGTTCAATATTGTCTACGAGGAAGATGTTGTCAACCTGACAACACAGGAGACAAGCTGGGTGGTTGATAGTGGTGCTACCATTCACGTGACGTCCAAGAGAGAATTTTTCTCATCTTACACACAAGGTGACTTTGGTGTGGTAAGAATGGGAAATGGCAACCTTTCCAAAGTTATTGGAAAAAGAGAAGTATGCTTGGAGACGATGAATGGTACGAAGCTACTGCTGAAGGATGTCAGGCATGTTCCAGAAATGCGCCTGAATCTCATCTCTGTAGACAAGCTGGACGAGGAAGGTTACTGCAACACCTTCCACAATGGCCAGTGGAAACTCACCAGAGGCTCCTTGGTGTTGGCCAAGGGCAAGAAGCTGTCAAAGCTGTATGTGACGGAAGCCAAGATCTCCCCAGAGATTGTCAACTCAGCGGAGAATGGTGACACAATTGAATTGTGGCACAAACGACTCGGTCATATGAGTGAGAAGTCCATGGCAAAGTTAGCCCAGAAGAAAGTCATAGTTGGGTTGGATCATGCTCATCTAAAGAAGTGTGTCGATTGCCTTGCGGGAAAGCAAAACCGAGTTGCTTTCAAAAGTTCCATCCCTTCAAGAGCGAAGAACGTGTTGGATCTAGTTCACTCAGATCTTTGTGAACCCGATGTCAACGTCAAATCACTTGGAGGTGCCAGATATTTCGTGACATTCATTGATGATCATTCACGGAAGACTTGGGTGTATACCTTGAAGACCAAGGATCAGGCCCTAGACGTTTTCAAGCAATTCCTGGCCCTGGTGGAGAGGGAAACTGGCAAGAAGCTGAAGTGCATCCGGACTGACAATGGTGGAGAGTACAGAGGTCCGTTTGCTACCTTCTGCAAGGAACATGGAATTCGGCAGCAATTCACACCACCAAAGACGCCGCAATTGAATGGGCTAGCTGAAAGGATGAACAGGACCCTGCTAGAGAGAGTCAGGTGCTTGTTATCACACTCGAAGCTACCACAATCTTTCTGGGGGGAGGCACTGCTTGCAGCAGTTTACGTGTGGAACAGGTCACCCAGTGTGCCACTGAAGTATGACGCCCCAGAGAAGGTGTGGACAGGAAAAGAAGTTTCCTACAAACATTTGCGGGTGTTTGGTTGCAAGGCCTTTGTCCATATTCCAAAGGATGAAAGGTCAAAGTTGGATTCAAAGACGCGACCGTGCGTATTCATTGGCTATGGTCAAAATGAGTTTGGCTATAGATTCTTTGATCCAATCCAGAAGAAGCTTATCAGAAGCCGTGATGCTGTGTTCATCGAGAATGAGACCATCGAAGATGTTGTTGCTAGGAAAGAAATTCCTAGTACTGATGCTAGTCAGCCAAACCTTGAGCTAGTGCCTCCAACACCAGCGCCTACAGAAGTTGGAGAAGAAGCACAACATGATCAGCCTGAGATAGTTGAACCAGATGCCCATGTGGAGGTTCAACCAGAAGATGCTGATGACGATGGTCAACCACCAGCCATAGAAGGTTCTCCTGTTCGAACAACAAGATCTGGTAGAATTTCACGACCGTCTACCAGATATCCCGAGACTGAATACGTCTCACTTACTGACGGCGGAGAACCAGAAAGCTTCACAGAAGCTATGAATGATGAACACAAGCAAAGGTGGATAGAAGCCATGCAAGACGAGATGGATTCCTTGTATGAGAACAACACATTTGAGCTGGTGAAGTTGCCAAAAGGCAAGAGAGCTTTGAAGAACAAGTGGGTGTTCAAGATCAAACATGATGAACACAACCGTCAGCCACGCTTCAAAGCCAGACTAGTCGTGAAAGGCTTCAGTCAAAGGAAAGGCATTGACTTTGACGAGATATTTTCACCTGTGGTGAAAATGACATCCATTCGTACTGTGCTGGGACTAGCAGCAAATCTTAACCTGGAGGTTGAACAAATGGATGTGAAAACTGCTTTCCTTCATGGTGATTTGGCGGAAGAGATTTACATGGAGCAACCAGAAGGCTTCAAGAAGGAGAAAAAGGAGGACTATGTGTGTAGGCTCCGTAAGAGCTTGTATGGCTTGAAGCAGGCACCAAGGCAGTGGTATAAGAAGTTTGAGTCTGTTATGGGGGAGCAAGGCTACAAGAAGACTACTTCAGACCACTGCGTATTTGTGAAGAAATTCTCAGATGGAGATTTCATCATACTGTTGCTCTATGTGGATGATATGCTTATTGCTGGGCAAAACGTCTCAAAGATCAATGATTTGAAGAAGGAGTTGAGCAAGTCTTTTGCCATGAAAGACTTGGGACCAGCAAAGCAGATTCTTGGCGTGAGGATCATTCGGGATCGAGGTGCCAAGAAGATATGGTTGTCACAAGAAAAGTACATTGAGAAAGTACTTCAACGTTTCAACATGGATAATGCTAAGGCAGTTAGCTGTCCTCTTGCTAACCACTTTACATTGACATCCAAACAGAGCCCGTCTACTGAGAAGGAAAAGGCGGAGATGGATAAAATTCCATATGCTTCAGCAGTGGGAAGTTTGATGTACGCCATGGTGTGTACAAGGCCAGATATTGCTCATGCAGTTGGAGTTGTCAGTCGGTTTCTTTCCAAACCAGGAAAGGAACATTGGGAAGCTGTGAAGTGGATCCTCAGATACCTTCGAGGTAGCTCCAAAATGAGTCTATGTTTTGGAGATGGTGAACATGTCCTTGTTGGCTATACAGATGCTGACATGGCAGGTGATGTTGATTCGAGGAGGTCTACTTCTGGGTACCTGATTACCTTATCAGGGGGAGCAATATCGTGGCAGTCAAGGCTACAAAAGTGTGTAGCTCTTTCCACAACAGAAGCTGAGTATATAGCAGTAACGGAAGCATGCAAGGAGATGATATGGATGAAGAAGTTCATGAATGAACTTGGGTTCCTACAGGAACAACCACAGTTATTCTGTGACAGTCAAAGTGCTATTCATCTTGCGAAGAATGCTTCATTTCATGCTCGATCAAAACATATCGATGTTCGATATCACTGGATTCGTGATGTACTTGAAATGAAGCAACTACAACTGGAGAAGATCCATACTGACGAAAATGGATCTGACATGTGTACCAAGACTCTTCCAAGAGAAAAGTTTGAGTTTTGTCGATCAGCTGCAGGGATGACGACTTCGCCCATGTAGTCGGGCGGGGGAGAATTGTTGGCCCTCCTCATGTGGTGGAGAATTGGCCATCAAAGTGGCGGTGATAATTGAAAAAAAAATAATAATGAGGGAGCAGTGGACGGTTGGGAGATGGATTTCTCAACCAATTGCAATTAATCCATGCCCTCTTCTTAGCCTATAAAAGGAGACAATCAGCTCACTTGGAAAGCATCCCTTACCATTCCATTCCATCCTTCTCCATTTCCTTTGCTCTGCTTCTATTCGTATTTCTTTTGTGGGTTTTTGGTAGTGAAACGTTTTCACTACCACGGGTAGATAGGAGATTTCCTTGTGAGTGAAATAGTGAGATGTTTGGGAAACACCGTGTGTTCTATTTCTTGTATCGAGAAAATCTCTGTAACCTACCATTGTTATAGTAAAGAAATACTCCGGAGCTGTTGTTCCCGTGGACTGGCCCATAATCAGGGTATACCACGTAAATCCTCGGTGTTATTTATTATTATCTATGCTTGTTGTTATTTTGAGAATAGTAGTAGTATATTGCATTATTAAATTACCGAAGTAAATTGATCTAAGTAAGTTGGTTACCGTAATTCTGGAGGCTCTGCCACCAGGTCCAACTTATTTGTGAACTTTTTACAAGCGTGTGATTTCTTAGTGCAATATATTTACCCGCTATTCTCACCCGCTGCGCCCAACAGAGAGCTAGTGTGACGACCAGGGAAACCTTTGATCTCGTAGAGGAGGAGCGGCCGGGAGGAGAGCTAGAGGCCGCCGTTGATTCAATCTGGAGAAGTCTTGTACGGTGGAGTGAGCGCAGCGGCGGGGAGGAGAAAAGCGGCCGAGAGGAGAGTTTGAGGCCCGCCGTCAATTCGATCTGGAGAAGGCTTGTGATGCAGATGAGCGTAGCGGCGGGGAGGAGAAAAGCGGTCGGGAGGAAAGCTTGAGGCCGCCGTTGATTCGATCTGGAGAAGGGTGGTACGGCGACTGAGTTCTTGCGCTTCTGGCGGCGGCGATTTCTTCACTGACTCATCCGCCCCCAACCCTTAATTGAACCCCCCATGTTCTCCGAATTCCCAAAATTAATTCTTTCCGACCTGTTAATTGTACTCTTAATTAAAAAGGGTTAATATCTTATTTTGACCCGAACTATGACCATATAATCAATTTTGGCCCGTGGTTTCAGAAATTAACATTCTGGCCCGAACTATACAACATATAGACTCAATTGGCCCGATTCATCAATTTCCGTCAAATTAGACAGTCAATAGTGTTGACCGTTAGTGAATCAGCATGTTTTGCTTATGTGGATGCCATGTAGACATTAAAAATTAATAAAATATTAAATAGATTAATAAAACTCAAACTATCAACTACCATTAATAATAATAAAAGAAAACTGTCATTAATGAAAGAAATCACCATCTCTCATCCGCCCCACTCATCTGTCAATTCACTCCTCTGTTCTTCTTTCTTCCTCCAGAAAACCTTCTACCTCTGTTCTTCTTTCTTCCTCCACAAAAATCATTCTCCCTCCGCCTCTAGAGATCATCTTTGCCATTTTCCATTTCATCACCTCTCTCAAAATCATTTTGATTCCTTACTTCCCCCAAATTCCTCTAACCATATTGGGGTCCACTGAAGAGGCGTTATAGCTCAATTTCTTCTTCCAGCCGTCGGAGGCAATCTGGAAGAACATGGCTTCTCGAATCCTTGCCTCGGAATCTGCTCTGGCTTCCTCGTACTTGATGTCCAGCCTCCCGCCGACGAAATCACGCCTGGAGACAGCCAGGAGGCCGACCTAGTTGAGGAAAGCTCGGAACCAGCGGGGAGTCTGTTGCACAAATTCGTCAACGACGATGACGAGTAGCGGAACCAGCGGGTGAAGAAGACGGACGTGAATCGCATCGTGAAGGGACCCTGGGTGGTGAAGAAGACGGTCGGGAATCACAGCGCGTGCCTGCTGCGGAAGGCGCTCACCTGCAATTACCACAGTGGCCTGAACTATTTGGAGATCGATGTTGATATCGCGATCTCGGCAATCACCACCGAGATTCTGCATCTGGCGCTGGGGTGAGTGACGAGCATGGCGATTGATATGGGTTCCTGGTGGAGGCACATGAGGAGGAGGAGATGCCCGAGAGGTTGATCGGCGTCGTGAGGGTTTGTCAGATGGAGATGTCGTCGGCAGCAATTGTGGAGACGGCGATGGCGACGATGGTTGGGCGTGGGATAGGGTTGGCGAAGGTCAATGACGAAGATTGATTGATTCGTTGTGGAACATAGGAGCTTGACGGCTTAGCGGAGTCGGTGTCTGCTTTGGAGAAGAAGAATGGTTAGGGTTAGGGATTTTTTTGGTTTTGCTAGAAGAAGGAAAGAGGTGAGGGGATAAGGTGGTGGGTGGCCGAAAATAATTTTATTTTGTTTTGATTTTTTTAATTAGGTAAAGGAAATCATAAAAAAAATCGAAAATTGATTTTTTTTATTTCTTTGGTGCTTACATGGGGTGACCTGGACAGTTGGCTAACGGTCAACAGTGTTGACCGTCCAAACAAACGGTCAAATCATGCTCCCAGCCAAATGAGTCTGTATGTTGCAAAGTTCGGGCCAGGATGTTAATTTTTCAAATACCCTAGTACGCCCTAGTACGCCCCGAAGTTTGACGTAAGTGACAGTTTTGGCTCCATTTTTCAAATAAGACATTTATGGCCTACTTTTGAAACTATTAGACAAATTTGGCCCAAAATTTTCTTTGACCGTTAATACTAACGGTCAAACACTATTCCGTTAATGACTCATAAAAAAATCACTGATGTGGCATACCACGTCATTAAAAAATATTATTCTAATTTTATAATTTAATTAAAATAAAAATTAAGAAAAATCCTTAATTATCCCTAATCCGCAAAGCGCCAAATCCAAACCCTAATTCCCTAAATCAACATCAACAGGAGACGCCTCCCTCCTCCTTCCTCTTCTTACCGATCCCTCTCTTTTCTATTTCCTTCCTCCCACTGCTGGTAAGCCGGACGACCATCGCGGCGGCGTTTGCGGCGACAATCATGGCCTTTGCCATCTTCGTCGCCGCCACGGAGATAGCTCGCTCGGATCCTGGCAGCCCTCGTCTTCGTCGGCGTCATAGTCCTCCGCGACCGCAATCGTCGGAGCATCATGGAGGCGGAAGAGGAACAATCGCGATCTCCCTGCAGTACACTGGCCGAGGCCGCGGACAGAGGCGCTGCCGTGATGGTCCTTTTCTCCTTGAGACGAGCAACGACGGTCGCGACGCGTTGTTGATTTTGAAATGGTTGTGGAGAATGCAGTTAGAGGGAAGATAGAGATTCGATGAAGAGAAAGGAGGAGGGGCGCTAACGCGCTGTTGATGTTGATTTAGTTTAGGGATTTTTTTTGTACAGAAATTTAATTTAGGGGATTAGGGTTTGGCTTTGGGATGATAAAAATTTTCTTAATTTTATAATTTTTATTTTAATTAATAGATAAAATTAAAAATATTATTTAATGACGTGGTATTCCACGTCAGTGGTTTTAGGTGAGTCACTAACGAAATAGTGTTTGACTGTTAATATTAACGGTCAAACAAAATTTTGGGCCAAATTTGTCCAATAGTTTCAAAAGTAGGTCATAAATGTCTTATTTGAAAAATGGGGCCAGAACTGTCACTTACGCCAAACTTCGGGCCATAATAGGGTATTAACCCTAATAAAAAAGGAAAAGTGGTGTGGCTGAATCATCTTTCCGACCTGTTAATTCTTTCCGACCTGCATCACCCATTCTGAGGATCATCATTACTGGGCGTGGCTGAATCGCAGGCAGCGGGACAAACATGTTGAACGAAGGGTGCAGCAGCTAAAACGTGAGTAGCTTGGCCAACTTCAACTCCAATCTGAACTCCAGCTTCAGGGCGATGCAGGACCGGCTGGCGATCCTCAACGCTTCTTCCCAAATTCGCAACTGATCCCGGGCCAACGGTGCTCGCGTCGGTCTTCGATGGCTGCTTCTTACGGTCCGTATCTGCCTTCTTGTTTCCCCCCCTTCTTTGCTCTAATTTAATTTTTCTGAGAGTCTACGAGATGATTTGTTTGTGTCTTGGATACTTTAAGCGCAAGAGGTGGGGAGTTATTCATACTGGAGGTAGTTGAAGAGTCAGGCAGGAAACATCACGTTCTTTTTGACGAGAAACAAGCAGATTGTCTTTTAAGCTCCCTCCAAGCGGCTGGTCTCGCCGGATTCCTTTTAGAAGCCACCGTCTCCTCCGGGATACGGGTAGGAGCAGTCGGGAAGGTGCTTCCCAGTGCCCAACCGCTACCGCTGCCGCATCGTCGTTTCCACAGGAGGCACCAGTCTGCCGGTCATACCATCAGGTCAAGAAAATAACTTATGTTTTTTATTTTTTAGTGAATGTAATGATGAGGTGGAAAATATAAAAGTTTATATTTTTTATTTTTAATAATTTTTTAGTTGCCACGTTACTAAGTTAACGGTCAACTTTAAGAGTTGACTGCCACATCAGTCAAACTTAACGGAATTGGACGGAGAGTGACCAAACGTGAACGGTTTCAGTAAAGTGAAGTGCCACTAATGGATTTAAATATTTCAAGTGACCAAACTTGAACGTTTTTTGTAATCTCAGTGACCAACCATGCAATTAACCCTTTTATGTTGGGTTGGGTTTTTACTTAAAAATATCGCCAACCCGACCCTACCCAATTAGAAACAAACCGTAGAGTTTAAATTTTTTTGGGTGGATTTGGGTTTGATATTTCCCAAACCGTAGTGCATGGGTCGGGTGGTTTAAAATGACTAAACCCGAACCACCCGACCCATGTACACCTCCTATCACTAACCAAGTATCCTCATTAAATAAATCACTTCCACCTCACACATGGTTCGGCTTCCAGATAAACACCACCACCCCAATTTACCTTTCCAATTGAGTAATAATCATTATCATTATCATTATCATCGTTCATGATTAATTATCCCCGGCATGCATAAATTCCAGTCCATGGTAATTAAATTACCCAACCAAATTCATTAACTTCCCTCTCATCACCATAGAACTACGGTTTATGCATACATACTCCTATAACCTACAGATTTTCCTCCTCCCTTCACGATGCCAAGTAATATTATCTTTGGGGAAAAGAAAAGCTTACCTTATGTATTCAGTACCCGATTCACTAACCCCACAACTATGCTATCTCTTTTCCGCCATCGGTGATCTCAAAGATAAGTAGAGTAGATAGTACCGGAAGTCGGAAGAGGGAGACTCACGCCACTCTTTCACCCTCGCTCTCTGTCTTTCTCTCTTGATCCTCAGAAATGAATGGGTGGGGATAAGGAGGTGAGAGGTTCACTATTTCACGCTACAATCTATCCACCCACCCCCAACTCATTAAGTTTTGGGTTAATTTTGTTCATTCATTTACCCTTGTAACTCTCTTGGTGTGGCTAATTTAATTAAGGTTTTGGGTGCTATAATTCGCCACGTGAAGTTTAACTAAGTTAGTGTTGCTCTAACGTGTTCTCACAACTCTGTCCACTAACCCTGTGAACCAGTGAGAATTGTGACCAACACTCAGATTTGTAACGTACATACTTCCACGTACTAAGCAATTGTCATGGAGGGTTGTGACATAAAACACTTATGTCAACCTGGCAGAGTGGTGCCCCTTCTTTGCGTAGCAGCAAAGGGAACTAAAAAGATGGCAAACAGAAAAAGCAAATCCAAGAAAGTGCAGGTAAGAAAATTGTTGCTGCTCCAAATTCGGTAGACATAGTTGATTGTAGAGTCACTAATAACATTATCCGTCCTTCTGCATCCAGTACCAAACCTGCACATAATGACAACAAAAGCTCGAGTGTATAAAAGTGAACCAATAACTGCCCATAGATGCACACAAATAACCCATCATAAGTTGAGAGGCAAAAAGGGGGGAACTTCACCATTTTATCAACTGCAACATTTTCGGTGACAATGTCTTCCCTTAGTGATCGAGGGTAAGCATACTAACTCGATAGAGATTTTCAGCTTCCTTCGAAGGAGTCCATGGAAACAACCTCTTCTTTCATTGGAGGTCCTATTAAGAATCAAATAAGAGCTTAAGCAACACACTTGCTCATCATCTAAAATCCAGTACAAAGTTTTCCCCAAATGATATAGTGGATGTATGCTCAGTTGATAAAGTTTGCTAGATACAATTCGTTGTTGTTTATCATAGTTAACCACTGTAGCCATTTTGAAACCCTAAAACAGATACCCAAGTCATTGATCTAAGCATACTGCAAGATGAAAATGTAAAGGAAACCTTGAAAAACAAAATGCAAAGCAATCGACATATTAAAAAGGTCATTGATGCATAGAATAGCATGCAACATAACAGTAGCAACAGCTAGCAGCCAACAACATCAAGATCATAGCACAATAGCAGCAGAAGTACAACAGCAGCAGCAAGACGGAAGGAAAGTGCAGAAGCACAAGCGGAACTGCGACAGCAAGAACAGAAAACTGCAACAGCAGAAGTAGAATCACAGCAGCAACAGTTAAACAAAAGGTTCGAAGAGAAGGATTATGAGCACAAAGCAATAACTTGTGAATGCGTGGTCCCATTGCTTGTAGAATGGAGCTTGAACCAAATCATCTACTACCAACTCACAACAGACCTATTTGGAGAAGACAAAATCCAAAAGCCTTAAAGCTTATTAATATATGTCATTCAAGAAAAGGAAGTGAAAAGCATATTAGTGTGGGTGGGGCCATCAACAAACTCTGATTGAGACTTGTGGCATGTTAAAATTCCCAAAAATCATATATACAAGACTCAGTACATTGAACTAAGTCACTAACTGGCTATGATGAGAAGATGAGAATTTGCTGACAAATAGTATTGAACTTCTTTAGATCCTGAGCCTAGGATTGTAGAATGCAGGAAAGAAATTATATGACAAAACTTGAAAATATAAGTAACAAAGATCATCAAATCCTATCAAACTTCTTGGTATAAGGTTATCCAAACCATGCCGAATATGGAGTTTCCACAATCAATGAATTGCCATCAACAAATTTGGGATCTAAAATTGCTTCAGTTGAGACTTTGATAACTCCTAGCACTGCATGCTTATTCAGAAAGCAAATTACAGGATCGAGCATGAAGCCCTGGTTTGAGCTGATGTATATCCAACCGTAAGAGTGTATAAAAATAAACAAAATTCATACATAAGAACTAACCAAAAAAAATCGTGAATCGCTAAAAGAACCAACCTGCGACAACACCAAAGACAGATCGAGTGTCAATAGCACCTGAAAGGAAAAGCAAAGAGACAAAAGTGGGACCAAGGTAAATAAATAGCCCAGCAAATCTAAGGATGGAAGAACACTTAGAAATTTAAAACTTTCTTCCTGCTCTGGAAGTTCTTGTTTCAGTTCTGCAAAATTTTCCATGGATCTCTTATCATTTGCTGCTTTCATTGGTATGCTCTTCTTTTGTCCAAAATCTTCACCTTCTTCCTGTCATTCCTCAATTGCTTAAACTCATAAGCTCCTTAATAACGAACCAACTAACAGATAAGGGTTAGTAATGAATTATAAAGACGTTTTTCACTTTTACAGAATTATCAAACTCAGGAACAATATTCTTTATGCTCTTCTTAACAAATCATTGCTGCTGGAATAACTCAATCCAATCACCCTTCCACAAGTTTGCTGATTTGCTGCACAATCAAGCTCACCGTTGACGATGAATCAAAGCTCGCTTGAAAATGCTTCTTGATCTTCTCTCTCAACACCTGGATCTCCTGCTTCTGTTGTTGCAAGAATCTCATCTCCTCCTAGTCTTCTCCTTCTTCAGCCTCCGCCTTATCAGCCCCATCGTCCAAACCGTCACAGGTAACTAGGTTTCCGGCAAACCAGGTATGGAAGAGGCATCCACAGGTCGTTTCTTTGAGGCAGAAAGCAGTACATGAGAAAGCAGCAGAGACTCAAATGGCGGAAAAGGTATAAAGTAGGCTTGTTTGAAGATTTGAGACTTACACTCGAGAATAGAGAAACAAATGAATTCAATAGGAGGTGAAGAGAAAATAGAAAGGCTCGAACCAGAGAAGAGAAGGCTTCTCATAATCTGGGAAAGGTCAGACTGCACATTTCATTGTCGGTGGAGTGGGAGCAACTGTGTAGACTGTAGAGGTCGCTACATGGAGAAGCAAACTGGAGGGGTTAGAGGACGGACATGGCAAAAGCGGTGGCTAGCGATTGCGGATTTTGGGGGGTAAGGCCGTGAAGGGATGGATGATAAGGAAAGCATGGGCGCTTGCAATTGATGAGACCATGTAATAGAGACGGGAAGCTCTTCTCAGGGTGAGGCAGGCAACAAATCCGGTGTTTGGGGAAACTCTTCAGTCCAATGCCAGTACCCAGCTTTTATATATATAAGAATGGGGGCTTAGTCTGCGGAGAGTCATATTCGCTGCATGATGAGCTGCCTGCTGAGCCCAGGATACAAGGGAGTCATTGGAGTTGGGTACCAGATTCAAGTTGATGTTTTACATTTTATGAATTGGGTGCATCTCTGCTTGGGATAAACTAGTTCAATCAGAATAGTGAAAACAAACAAGGACTAATCTATGAAAGCAGGATAGGTATAAAGTAAAATCAAGGACTACTCTATGGAATGCATTAAAATGATAGCAACATCATTGTTATGCCAAAGGAATCAAAACTTCTAAAGCAAACCGAAGGGCTCTGCATAACTCAGGGATAAACTCATGAGAGTCAATACATTACCCATAGCCTCACCTCCACAAACAACCACAGATAACTTCTTTCGGGTTGAGCTAGCTATAGCAGTCTCCTACTTAAGCAATCAAATATATCATTTCTAGGTGACCCACTGTCTAAAGTTATTCCTCGGGTATTGATTAACAAAGAACTTTTAAGTTTAGGTTTCTACATGATTGTACATCTTCTTGCTTATGTTATCAGAGCAAGTGCGAGTTTCATCTAATATGAGTCGAACTCTTGTCAACCCACCCTGGGGGTTCTGAGTCTGACTATAGAGCCAACAACCCCTATCAAGCAAACATAAGTCAAACTCTTCCACCATATGGATATCCCTAAGCACTGATTCCAGACAAAACGATTCAAAGAGGGAGAAATACATGTTATCATTTCTAGGCAACCCACTGTCTAAAGTTTTTCTACTAACCTTCACACATTGCTGATGCCTCAGCCGAACCATCACTATCAACTTCTGGCTATGCTTCCAATTCATACTCCAAGGCAATCTCATCATTCGTGAAACAGAGGAACCGATACATATGAAAAGAAGCCTGAAAAGAGAGAGAGGAAGGGCAGGAGCACACAGAAGATGAGAAACATAACATACAGACGATAATGTCAAGAAGTACTCAAATAATTGTGAAGCAGTTCTATCCCCCCCTTGAACTCGCCTTTTGCTATATTTGCCCATCCCAGACTAAAACGAGAACTACCCCAGAATGGGCGACAGAAATTATCGCAACTGGCTCTGTAGGATTCTAGTTCACAACAGTAAGAAAAGGGTAGTCGGGGCATTATTCACAGCTTCATGTAACAATCCCCAACCGAACCGAAACAGATGCAGGTGGTGGTTCCAGAGAACGAACCGCATTCGACGAATTGGCCGGAAGGAAGTTTGAATTAGGGTTTTTGGAGCTTGCTGAGGAAATTTGGCCTCCGCGCGCTCCGTCACCCAGTCGTCTTCGTCCAGCCTCGGTAGCCTCTCTGCATGATCGATCGGTCAGTCGGATAGAGTCCGATTATCTGACTCGAGTCGGTCTTCTCCTCTGCGACTGGGAGTGTTGACTGTGCAAGAGAGGTAGGAGAAGAGAGGATTAAGATAGGAATGAAAAATTCATTAAAAAAAAAGGAATGAAAAGAATAAAAATAAAGAAAGAAAACAACAACGCCATTTCCCGCCCAACTAAACCCCCCGGCCATATATATAAATAAAATCAGTCCCGCCTTTATACCCTCCCGGAATTTCTCAACTCGCTTCTCCGCCCGATCACAAACTAACCCGGAATTGCTTTCTTCTCCCTCTGCTCCTTCTTTTCGATCGTAACCCTTCCAAAACAACTTCCTTTTACTTTCTTGCTGCTAATGGAATGGCCGCCAATGGCAATTTTGCGATTCCCGTTCCTCCTGTCGCCGTCGCCGTCGACGCGGACTGTGACATCTGCTCCCGCAGATTTATCTCACATTGGCGTACGCATCTGCATATGCTTTCAATTCACCCTGAGTACTACCCCAGAGAGTATCCAAACAGCTGCTCATTCTGCCCTCGGAGGTTTCGATATTGGGGGGACGAGATCCTCCATGAGCTGGAGACTCACCTCGCTCTTCCACCGGACCCCGGCCCTGCGGCCGTCGATCAGTAATCCCGTCGAGCCACCACCGTCCGATGCCTCATTTTCAACTCCAGGTGCGTTTCTTCTTAATCTGTTTTGAGATTCCGCTGAAGATTCACTTACGGATGATTCTTTGGTCTCCGAATCCGTAAGGATTTTGACGACGGGCATCGGAAATTGGCTGCGGAGTGCGCCAATTTGGCGACTCCGAGTAAGAAGTGGCTTCTTTATTTTCTTGTTTCTTCTTAATCTATTTTGAGATTCCGCTGAAGATTCACTTACGGATGATTCTTTGGTCTCCGAATCGTAAAGATTTTGACGACGGGCATCGGAAATTGGCTGCGGAGGGCGCCAATTTGGCGAGTCCGTGTAAGAAGTGGCAAACGGGCTGTGCGCACAGGTCCAAAGAAGCTGAATCAATGGTGGCGATGGTGGACTGGTTAGGGGTTCTGAAGTTTGTGCATTTCACTTGCAAACTTCCTTATTCAGTATTTTCTCACTTTCCATATATTTTCCCAGGGATGTTCTGCAAGAGGTTTTAGAAGGAAAGCAAAAATTCCACAGCTTAACACTGGATGTACTACCTTGTCTAGTTGGGAGGCAGCAGGTTAGTTTGTTAATCCATGATCAGATTTCCAAGGGGTTAGTGATGTTATGGAGAATTAAACTGGTTGAAATATGTCTTGAATATACAGGAATCAGACATGTTAATGAATGGTACTCTTCAGGCCTTTAGTGACATAAACTTCAATGTGAGTGTTTATAGCTGTGAAGTGCTTCTTCAGCTAGCTAGCTCTAGCTTACTGCTAATTTTTCCTTCATCAATTCAGAAATTAGTTCTGAATCATTAAAATTTTCAGGTCATAGGTGAACCCAATCATCTCTCTAGATACTCCTCTGTTCATAACAACATCATACATCCTCCAGTGGAACTGGGATCAAATACTACTACTGTAAGCCACATTTAGAGACAAGCTTGCTTTTAGAATCATTAATATGGGTATTTTATCTGTGATCAAAATATGTCAAGTTGTGGACGACTGGAGATGCTTGTTTTTTCATATGTGAATGTTTTGGCAATCATAGGTGGGGCGGGGCATCATTGTATGTTGAGCGAAGGATCAGTAACAGGGGATGAAGGCAGTGTAAAACGCTCTGTTGTTGGCTGCCACTGTAAGATAGGTTCCAATTTTGAGGTAAGATAAAGTGTCTCATTGGTGAAGCTCAAGTACAATGAAGTACCATTAACTTGTTCTGAAAGATCATATGAACTTTCACTTGTGCTGTTCCTGTAGACTGTTGATTCTGTTGTCATGAACCATGCTACCTTCGGAGATGGCAGTTCACTAATTTGCAGCAATGTCCAGATCCAAGAGCAGGTTGCACTGAAAGACTGTCAGGTGATTTTGTAGTTGCTCCCTTCTTGTGTGAGTGCATATGTCTAGTTTGCTGTGCAAGTAGTAAATTTGACTCTACCTGTGTACAGACTGGAGCAAGCTTTGGGGTTTCTGCAGGCAGTCAGGTCAAGGGAGAATCCTTAGCAAGGAATGGGAAATAGCGTTTGTAAGGAATGGTCTTGGAGGGTCAAAAAACTGTAGATAACAAAAGGAGAAATGATGTGTACAGATTGGGTGGCTACTGATAGGTCTAGGCGAGCACGGAGAAATGGCAGTATTTCCCAGAGACACTGAGATGGCTTGCGTGCAAAGGTGTTTTGTGATGCAAACTTGTGTTTCTCAACTATGGTTTATTGGATCATCTACTGTAGTCTGACCATACCCTTGAGATTTGCCTTGCCTTGAAATCTAAGAAATACCTTTTTACATAATTTTAACATTTTTAGGTCACTTTGCCAAACATAATCATTTTAGGTACTGCATGAACATTTCTGCCACATTTTTTCACAGGATAATTGCATACTTAATGTGTCATTGCCTCATTGGTATTCCATAGGAGAACATACAACAACGGTCAAAATATATGTAAACAGAAGCCTACAGTAATGCCAGCAAAATTTGGCTAACATGTTCTATGCCAACTTGTGTCAAAAGAAGAAGCTCCAGTTTGCCTAATCCCTAATACTAAGGTTTTAATCTAAGCTCACTAGCCACTGAAAGTTAGTCCTCGTTTTCAGATTCAAGAACTGGAAGAATGTTGAGGGCTGACGAACCAAGATGCATTCCTCGAACAACCCCTCCATAGCCAACCTTGATTCTGTGGCACAAAAGTATGATCGAATCCCACAAAGCTGTCCTCCCCTGCAACAACAAGAAAGATAATTAAACTGGTGTCAGAATGATGGACAAATTATTAAGTGATGACTGATCATATGATGCAGCATTGAGTGTCCTTTACCGATTAATCACATACCTGGAGAGAGAGCTGCTGCTTCTTGTCCCAATACAAGGCAAATACTGGAGGGCTTTGCTTCCCGACGACAAGCACGCAGGCTCCAGGATGAAGAGTGGAAGGAACAGCAGAAACAACAGAAATGTAGTTCTCGGGAAACCTTTCTTTGGCTGGTAGAACGCCCAAGAATAACGGGTTTTTGCTGGATTGAGCACCAGCAGAGGAAGTTGGATCCACATGGAGCATCCACTTTGGATGTTCAAGGAAGGCGCAGAATAGATACAACAGCAAATGAGAATCAGTTGGAAGGTCAAGAGTCCACTTCTTGTTCTTTCTATCATAGGCCTCTCCTGTTGCAACATACTCATAATTCTTCACGCAGGTTCCTTCTGCAAGATCTATTAAAAATATGCACGAATGTCCCAAATGTTAGTAGCGGATACTATAGATAAGAGTAACATCTTCATGGATTTCAATTAATGGTTGGGCATCAAGGACCACAAAGAAAGAATATTTATGTGTACCTCGAATTCTTTGTACCATGTAATCTTCCCGGACATTACCATGTGGCAGCAAACCTTTACCCCACTCTCCTTTCATCAATGTACGAAGCTTTTGATGTACTGTAATGGCATCTAAACATTCCTGCATAATAGGTATCATAGGATTCTGCTGCGGAGATTGCTGTAGATTGAACTGATTAAACTTAGCTGCATATACACAGCTAAGTTAGTTATATGTCTGGAAAATTATCAACACCCAAACATATGAAAAAAAGTAAATCAAGAGCCAACATACGTGTAGAAGCATCAATAGCATGTAAAAGGCTAGCACGTAGTTGATGAAGAAGTCCATCTTCATCAAGTGTGAATGCCGGTTGCCATTCCTTCCTATCGATAGAAGAGAGAGTAGCAGGTGTTTCAACAGATACTGAATCATTTCCCACTTGACTAACTGTAACCGAAAACCCAAGTTTTGCAGCTGTTTGCATAACCTGGAATGATAGATGGATCAGAAGGATACCACGGAACTAGAAGCCAAGAACACAATAGAAAGAATTATGCATGTCGACTGTTTTCCTCTGAAGAGTTTCTCCAGGCAAGTCATTGGATGTTTACTCATTTGCTAAAATGGAAAAAGAATGAAATCATTGGGTATTCTAGATTCTGAATTGCATCACAAGAATGTCACTTCAGTTATAAGTTATTCTCTTGTAAAAAAAATGTATAAGCTATTCAGAGTGAAATTTACTCCAGCCTACCACAAGTTCTGAAACTGTAAGTAACCATGGCCTAAATGGCACTAGTTATAAATTGTTTTAGAAGTTTCTTGAGTAAATATCAATCATCAATAACATATTTCCTGCTGTTGAAAAAAGTAATGCACTTGTCACTTATCTAACATACTCTAGAAGCTGTTTGGCTATGCAACCACGCCTTCTCCCGATAAAACCTGAGGATTTTCTTTCACATATTGCTGTAATGTTATCTCAGGTTATATTCAGTTGTAACCTTATATGAGCTCTTAATTTTGTGAGCACCCAACACTTTATTAATACATATACAAAATCATTCATAAGAAAAAAAACTTACTCTAGAAGCACTGAACCAACATGCAGCCTTACTAATTAGATAATTATACTTAAAAGCCAAAAATAATGGTTTTAGGTCAAGTAGAACACTGTTCTTCTTATATTAATCTCTCAACTCCTGATTGCTAAGCCCTAGCAGAGAAGGGCAACAAAAGCTACATCAGTAACCTTTGCACTACGGTAAGGAGATTCTCCAGTGAGATAAGAAAACCAGTGCTTATACAGAATATTTTTCTTGTCTCGATGAATAAGCTCCCCCAACAACTTATTGGCAACAAACTATTAATAAATTATGCTGTATCTATCTCTCCATTTCATCGAAAAACAATAACTTATCAAGAACCCCTGAAGTAAGCCAAAGAGATAAAAGCACAAGTACTTATGATGATAATATATACCTGGACATGACTGGTCTCTATCTTGTTAACCAAAGGGCTAAGTAGAACTGAAGAAAACCATTGTCTGAGGCGATCACGCCACTGCTCTACTTGAGGATAGATCCCTAAATGCTTGAAAGCTTCAAGAGCCTCTTCCATGGACATTGGCGAAGGAAGTTCCCCTTCTCCTTTCTTTGGAGGAGTGGTAAATTTCTGGGAACCAGGAGACATTCTCACCGGCCTCAAGGGTGTACTCCTAGTAGTTCCAGATGTATTAGCTGGACTCGAAATAGTACCAGGACTTAATATGCCAAAACCTCGTACTGTTGGGGGTGGAGTTGTGTGCTTCCCAGCTGATACATTAATTTTGGCATCAACATCTGCCAAGAACTTCTCAAGTTCCTCTTCTGTTGCTATTTCTTTGACAAAGGAGGCTCTCTTACTTGACCAAGGAGTTGAAACAGCTGATTCCATTGCAGGGGAAGCTTGTCCAGAAGGTAGCGGCGAACTGGCTCCTGGTACAAGATACAGAGACGATGGGGAAGTTTGTGATTTGGATGGGGCACTGAAAGAGGTCATCCTATTCCCGCTACCAACACTTGATTTATCAGAGGTGACTCGAGACTTGAGATTAGAAGCAGTAATTGGTAGGTGAATCGGAACAAGCATGTCTGATGCTGGTGTGTTTTTGGACTTGGGAGGTTTCTTTGAAGAATCTACTGAAGTTGCTTCAAATTTTGGCCTTATACCCAAAAGCCCTAGTTGATGGTTTGTCAATTTTGGCAGGTCCTTTGTTTCTTTCTGAGTTGGCACCTGAGCAACATTTCCAACCCAATGCCAGGAAATGACTTTAAGAAGGCCAAAAACACATCCAAGGAAGAGCAGCCCCACCACACCCTCGATTGCCTTGGCAAACACATCTGAGAAGTTGGATCAATATTTTAGCAGCAGGGAAAGTAAGTAAATGGAGCATAGTGATTTAAATTTAAGTCAGGACAATTTACTTCTTAAAAGAGGAAGAATGAACTTACAAGCTGCTCCTGAGGAGAGATGACCAATTTTCATCATTTCTATTAACCCATTTTCCCTGCATCAATTCGGAGCAAATTAAACAGTAAGATACTCGCATGAGAATCTAATCAAACAAACTTTAGTCAGTCGATGCTATTTCAAAGTGCACAACAAGAATGGAAGTAGAATCTGAGATATTCGTAGACAACACGTCAACTAAACCACGTTATTCAGAGTGCTCACCTCTCTCACCCCTAAATCAAACATCCATTTTCCTCACCTTAGACAGACAAGAAACCTGCCCTCCATCCTTATCCTCTCATGAACAGCAATGCAATGAAAGGCAAATATGAAAATCCCTAGCTAAGGTTACATAACAGTCAAAAGTAGCGGTACGTACGAGACTAGAGCATCTCAAACAAATGAACAAGAAGTGCATTGCATTGTAACAAAGAAGTTCCAGATAAAATCTCCATTCTTTTCTTCTTCTTCTACTTTTTTTTTTTTTTTTTTTTGTCCAAAACTTTCCAGCAACCAGCCCATACAACCAAAAGAGGTGGCAGATAAAATAACGCGAGCTGTTTTCCCTAAACCCCTCTAGAACCCTAAACACCAAGAAAAAACGCCATGAAACATAATTCCAAAGGAACAGCAGCAAATCATGTCATAAATCAAGCGACATTCTCGACGAGCAAGGAATTGCCATGTTTAACATCAACTCGGACTATGAAAACCCTACACAACAATGAAGACTAATCCACTGGAGGTACCTGGAGACGATGGAGAAAAGGGCGAGCGCGGAGGCAGAGGAGAAGAACACGATGTAGAGCAAAAAGGATTTGGAGGGTTGAAGGCTGGCAGCGGTTAGGGCAGCAGAAAGGGATGGGTTCTGGTAGACCGCGAACTTGGCCGATTTGGTCGTCGGCGGAGAGGCCCGGCCTTCCATTGTGTGGAAAATGCTTGGTTCACCAGAGCGCAGCGAAGCTGCCGCCGTTACTTGGATATACTTGGGCGGCGACGCCGACGGACGGCGATGGATGGAGGGTGGGCGGACGTTGGAGTTTTGGAGCTCAATTTTTGAAATGCCTTTGGGGAATTCTCAGCTCATATTAAGATGCTCTAGAGCTGGGCATAAGTAAAGTAAGTGGTAAGTATTTTATTAAGGCGAGAATTAACTCTTAAATTTTCATGATTTGCTCATTCTGATACATGAACATTATTTTTTGTTATACCAGTACATGAAGCAAAGCTATTCCGGATACAATTAGGAACAGTTCTACTTTCAATAGGGTTGGTGATTCTTTTTTCCCCATAAATATAAAAAAGAAGAAGGCACTACTAATGAAAAACAAGAAAGAAAGAAAAATTCATTGTGTTGCGTTTATAGATTTAGAAGTATACAACAACTGAACTTCAAAATCAATTGATGTTAGCTCTAAACAAAGATATCGACGAGAACGTACATACTACTATATGAACAAT